ATATATATATATATATATATATATACACACACACACACACACAAGTAATAAAAAACTTTTTTGTAAATGTAAAATGATCTAGGGATGGCAGTACCAGAAAGAATGTAAACAAGAATATAGGGATGATACAGTTATATGTACATCATACCTACATGACTTTCAATACTAAAATTTAATGTTACACTGTACAATGCATACTTGAATTTAATATTACTGCAGTTGGAAGTTATATATTCCTGATTGTTGGTATGTACAAGGAAAAACAAGTTGAGTGAAAACGGCTTGATTATTACAGACTCTCAGTACAAGGTAAGTTGGATTGACCAACCTCGTAAACCATTTTGTAATTATGCATCTTACAGTGTTACATTAAATTTTGATATTGAAAGTCATGTAGGGATGACCTATGTATAGCTGTATTATTCCTATATTCTTGTTTGCATTCTTTTTGGTACTGCCATCCCTAGATCATTTTACATTTACAAAAAAGTTTTTTATTACTTGTGTGTGTGTGTATATATATTAACAAATAAAACTTTACTAAAATAATTTATTAATACTACAAAAGTTTCGGTACACTGCAAAATTCTAAGAAGAAGCCTTTAACATGATCACAAATGATTAAATGTTTATACAATTTTAGTTACAGAATGCATCACTTCGTCCAGAGAGAGTTTTTGTTGATTCCCGACAGCTGAAGATTTGTGCAACATGTTTTAATTTGACACTTGGTTTGCTGCGCTTGCTTGAGATGGTTGTTCATTCTGCTAGTGCTCTGTTTACTGACTGGACGAGACCATCTGCTGAGGTGTTACTTTCATCTCTCTGTCAGGTGGGTATTGTGTTTGAAGTTTTGATTCTAACAATTACTTTGAACTCCTTCACAACGAAGAATCAACTCACTTAATACTTTAATATGTAAACATATCATAAGTTTTCTTCCTGCTTTACTTGTCTATGAATTTTTAAATATTTTTGTTTGTTTAGTTTATATGCAGTTTTAGCCTTAACATGTGGTCCAGAAAATCGTTGAGATTACCTGGTTCTAGTTGCTTTGTTTTCTAGATTAGATATCTATTCTGCCTGAAAATATATTGCAGTAACATACAGCATTTGGGTTGAAAGGATTAGTGACTGTAATATCCTTTGCTTGCCAAACTGACAATGTCCAATGCTGACCAATGCTTTGAAAGAAAAAAGGTCACAAGGATACTTTGTCAAGTGGACAAAGAAAACAAGTTTACCTGTTGAAATCAGGCACTCTTTTTTTTTATCATTTTTACTTTGTTATCATTTGTAAATGGTTTGGCAGAGATTCATCTTGAGAGATGGAAAGCTGACAAGCTATTCACTGATCTGGTAGAGGCGATCTTCCATATGTCTACACAAGTGTGCACACTTTTTTTATTGTATGTTTAAATATTGTTTTTACTGTTAATCAAACATATTAGATCTCTTAATTCTCATTCAACTTAAAACTCAGTCAAGTTATCAAACAGAAATGACTCTCATTTCCTGGTCAAATCTGCTGTTATTAGTAGGTCTAATTATCTGATGCTTGTAGGGAAATAAGTTCACCTGAAAAATACCACAATATTACAAAATCTAGAAGATTTAATACCAGTTATTTTCTGAATAAAATTATACTTCCAGGCTAACTCTACATTATATTTATTTGTTACAGATTGTCAACTTATTTTTAAGCCCTTTTTCAGGTAATAGACATTAACTCTCACTATGGGCTTGGTCAATTCGACCTAACAATTGATCTTTAGTTTCCATACTATAACTTCTAATATGCTTTGTGTATCTTCACGAAGGCAAAAAATCAGAATCTTTAATGAAGTATTTTCACTAACAATTTCTCTATTAATATATGGAGTAAAATGTCAACTGCTCTGATTGTAAAGTGATTTTTCATGTTAAGGTTAAAAGTACTTTTCTTCATCTGAAAAATTTCAAATTTCATTGGCATAATCTCTAAAACCTCCTAAATAAATTTCACACGTTTTTCTTTTTCAGTAAAACTTTATCTTTCATCTGTTATTTTCTCTACCCTAACTCTATAGAAGGTTAGTCAACTTGACTGTTTTCGTAACCACAAAAAAAAGAAAGAAATCTAAATCTTTTTTTCTTTCTATAATGACTTCAAATTGTAACATGAAACTAAATTTGTTTATCCTAAATAGCTTTAAACTTGTAATAGTATACATCTGTTTCTACTTAAATTTTATCGCTCTTTGAACTGTGTGCAAATAATATTGCTGCCACACATTTTTTAAATAACTTAATGAACATGTAGCTCATGTTACCCTGTTGAATTATGTAACACCTGGCTACTCGCAAGCTTACCTCGTGAAACATTTTTATTATTATTTTTTTTTATTTTACCTTATCTAAACTAAAAAGTTTAGAATTTTTACATTTTAGTTACTTTTATAATAATAAATAAAGAATACACATGAAAAACAAGAAATATACTACACACCTGGGTCTTCTTTTTTTTTTGCTGCCAACTGTTGATGAAGCTTATCCCTACTTTTATATATTAATGGTACTAATGCACTAAATAATTTTTTATTTAATTAAGTAATGCACCAAAGAACACAGAATAATAATGCACAAAAAATAGACAATGTCCTATAACTATTCACAATTTTTCTGGTTTTTTAATTATGCTACAAGAGCCGTTAAAAATTCAGTCAAGCTCTTTAATGTGCTTTCCATGGGAATAGTTTGAATTGGAGGCAAAATAAAAAATTTTTTTGTACAGAAAATAACGTAATATAGTATGTCACTTAATAGATTAGACCTTTGGCTTTATGTTGGTTATAAATAATATAGTATTAACTCCCCCAACACGGGCTCAGTCAATTTAATCAACCACGTGACCTTTTTGTACTTGTTTAAAGTCTTTATAGATTTAATACTTCTAACTTTCAATATACTGTGTATATCTTCCCAAAATTTGGCAGTCTTTCAGTTAATATTATAAGTCTTTCACATACAAAAAATCATACTTTTAAGTGAAGTATTTTTAATAAAATGAAATAAAATAAAGATTTGTCCATGAATATATT